TGATAATAACAGAAAAAGAAAGGCCCTAAATATGTATGTAGTATAAGTCTTGATATTATTTTACATAACTTCTTATGATGAAATGAAATGTTGCTAATTTCTTTGGTATTTTTAGAGTGGTTTTAGTCAAGATGAAATGTTTGAATATTTTAATTGTGGTATTGATCATTTAATTGTAATTGATCATAAAAAATCTTCTGTTGAAAATATCCTACAACAATTAACTCAAACATATACATCATGTTTTCTTCTTGGAACATTTACTTCAATAAGTAAATATTTTATATTGCAATTATTTTATATTATAATATTTTATTTAGATTCTAGTCCAATACGTAATAAATCAATACATTTACCTCAACAATCACGATCACGTACTGTTCAGTTAAAAAATATTTTATTTAAATATCCAAAACCTTGTCTTACATCAAATGATAATCCTATTGTTACTAAAGATCGAATGAAACAACCCATTGCAAATGACAAAACCCGTTGTGCTGTACTTATTTCAACGAATGGTAACAAAATAAAAAGATACGAAAAAAACAATTTTTTTAATTTCTTTCTTTTTTTAAGATACTTCGTTACTTTCTCTTCTTGCATATTCAACTTCAACGATTGAATGTGCATTTGAAATAGTTCTTGTACTTTCAACATTAGCTAGTCTATCAGATATAGCTCGTGTTAATGAATTATATCCATCTGTTGTAACAAAAGTTATTCAACCGAAAAAATATGCTGCAAGAAATTATGATTTAGTAAATATTCATTCAATTTAAGATATCATTTAGTTTCTTTTTTCGTTTTTAAGGATCAAAAAATAGATGATGAATTACAATTACATGGTTGTGAATTAGTTATACTTGATCGTTATGCATGTCGTTTATCATCATCATTTATTCAAGCATGGCGTGGACGATTATTAAATATATATCCATCATTATTACCAGCATTTCGTCATAGTACATCACCAATTCGTGATGCATTACAAGCTGGTGTTCGTATAACAGGTGTTACAGTTCATTTTGTAGCTGAATCTGATACAGATAATGATGGACCAATTATTGCTCAAGAAAGTATTCATGTAACACCAATTGAAAATGAAGTTCAATTAGAAAATCGTTTACGTACACTTGAACAACAATTATATCCGAAAGCAATTGATATGGTTGCATCAGGAAAAATAATTTATCAAGGAAAAAAACGTATGGGAAAAGTAAATATTGCTCCGACAATTGCATCTTCAGCTTATTAAAAATAAGTTTGCGTTTTCATCTATATTTGTGTCTGTACATTGAACTATATGCATCTGTGTTATTTGTTTCCTTAAAATACGCAGACGTTGATCTTTTTTTCTTGTTTATGTTGTAGTTTTGTCGTCTTGTTTATAAAAAAAAACAAAGCAATATATATATATGTATGCGTGTGTGTATATAATCACTGATATAGACTGATTTTTGAACAGAATGGATGCTAATTAAGTGAAATCAAGTTTTGATTTCATTGAATCAATTATCTTTCATGTTTTTAGTCAAATGAACAATCAAAGAACAGTAGTTGACTTATTTTAGTCAAAAATTTAATCCTAACATATTAATTTATAATGGATATGTGACGGCTGTAGAGAAGACTTGATTACAACAAGAACTGAGAGAAACATCAACATATACTGTTTCAGGCTAGTAAGATCAATGTCAACAAGAATTTGTTACTTATCAAGGGCTCAAAAAATATTACAAATGATCGAAACGCATTTCTAAGAGTATTTCTTATCAGGTGGTGACATGAGAAGATCAAAAACAGAGTTTTTTTTTGTATGAATTACAATGAGTACATAGACTAGAATTATAGAACAGCTTAATTAAAGTAATGGAATTTATGTTCGTTAGCATCGATGCTCCTTTGAATTCTTCCAAGCACAGATTAAAATTTAGTGTTGAACACGATGAGATAAGTGATTGCTTAAGATTCGCCAATTTTTTAGGCTTGTTTTTGTACATGATACTTTTAAGATACTCCTACAAGAAAAAGTCTACTCAGGTAAGATCAGGAGACCTGACAGGTCAATCAATTGGGCCACGACGAGCAATCCATCTTGATGGAAAGTTTTACTTAAGCCAATCTCGAGCATCAAGTTTGTGGTAATTATAAGCATTATATCAATATGTATGTAGATTATCAGCGATATTATTGGTTTTTTTTCGAATAATTATAATAATAATAGTAATAATAATAATTCTTCAAAATGAATGATGAAGTCAAGGATAGACAGCATATATGAGGGTTTCATATTTTAATATATATCATCATATTTGTATGTACAACTTTGTAAATCTGACTTCTTAATAACTCAAAATGTTATTGTCTTTTACTCCAGCGAGCAGAAATCTCCTACTCTTATGTACTGAAAGTGCAAAATTATATCGAAGTATCAAAAAAAGGAAGAGAAAATACGAAATACATAATTATTTATCTCTTAGTAGAAAGTGTTAATTGACGTATTTTCTTATTAATCATATATGTAAATTAATGAAAAATAATTGAAATATTGTTATATCAATATTTTATTTTATGCTAAAAAAAAATTCTAATGATGAAAATTTAAATTGATCATTTTCCCTAAGTTTCAACAATCAAAAGATTTTTTCAAAAAAAGAATACTCTAAATAAATCAGATTCAATCATATCCAATTGACTTTGTATTCTATAATAGAATTATTTTATTCATATCAAAATCTGAAAAAAAATGAGTACAATTCTATTAAATAGCATGTTAGAATATTAATTTACATATTGAATAAGTGGATCATTTGATCATATAGCTTCAAAGTTCAAACGATTGATAAGTCCCACACTTTATGCACAGCAGTGATTGAATTCTGTGATTTGTGAATTCTCGGAAAGCTGTGGATGTAAGCTTTGGTTCTCTCAATACCCATGACAACATCCATATTTGAATATCCGAAAAGAAAAGTAAAGCGTGATGATGTAAATTACCTTTTGAAACGCTAGGATTGATTTATACCCTATATTTTAATACATTCTTGAATTCTTAGGGTTGCTTAAGTTTCTTGAGTGAAGTTACACTTCTGAGAACTTCATGAGTTCATAACGCACGGAATTTACGCATTGCTTGACAGTTGATCCTTCTGTGGGTCTGTGGGGGGATAATGTGTCAGAAAGGTAGGTATATCATTAATACACCTGTCAACTGTACCAGTTACGAAAGAAAAAAGCAAATTAACAAAAATATGTTACACTGATGCGGGTTTGATAACATTTATAATTGTCCGATACCTGTGTAATCAATGATAACAAATGATAAGATTGACAAGCAAGTGTTTCCATATTACAGGTGATAATTCCACGAATAAACATACTGAAAAATCTTTATTTGAATAGTATTCATAAATCACTCGATTTACTCATGTTTTAGTTACTTCTATAGTTTTGTTTTGATTCGTAATACATTACATCATTATTATGGATTTTTGTGTGAATGAGATTCTTAGTAAAAGAAAACTATATAATATTCTAATGATTAATCACAGTTGTTTTTCTTAATAATCGAAGGACATTTTTTATCATCCAGGATATGTAAGTTTATCTGTTCTTGTTTTTATCATGCACTACTGATTAAAAGATGCAATGCAATTCAATTTAATTGTTTTGTTTTTATGACGACAGTATGTCGCACGATTTTGAAAAATATTGCAATTTTTTCGCTTCATTTCCCCATAAATAAATACCTATGTTGTTTATTACTAAATTACTTATTTGATGAAAGAAAATAATGTCAGCCAGGTAAGAATAAGGTATTCGTAGTGCATTGATATGAAAAAAAGATATTTTTGATCACCGATGTTTTTTTGACCAATGATTACTCATCATTTGTTTTTGGGTGCTTCTACACATTCCACATTCAGCACTTTTTTCAGGGATCACACAGATTAATGTATGATCAAAACAATTAGTGAAAGGAATACGTGTGTCTGTGAAAAACTACATATCTATTTAAAAATATGCTTCTTCTTCACATCGATAGCATCCTATACACGAACTGACTTAACTCGAAGAGCACAGCATAGGATGTGAGTATCGGGGTATCCCTGATCTGAAGAAGTAGTTCTGAAACAATGTCTATATTGTATTGATAAATAATAATGTGCAATGAATGAAAAATTTAGTGATCAAAAATACTGTCACCTCATTTATTTTTATTCTACATGATAAAAATAAAAAAATTTAATTGTAAAATATAATGATCTTTTGTCTAGCCCTTTGATGTTTCACACAGTTGTTCCAATGGATGAGACTTCAGAGTCAGATACCATTATCACGACAAGTATGCAACAAGAGAACGATTCAGAAAATCGTCTTTTAAAACATAACGAAAAACATCGATCAAATCTAACTATGTCAACTACGTTAAGACCATCATCAGAAAGTGGTATTCGATTTTTTAGCAAGTAAGTTTCATTGACATACTATAGAAATAATACAAATCGAATTTAAGTTTTATGCATCGAACAGTGACAAATCGTCAAAGAGCTGAAATTCAATTAGAAAGTATTCTTAATGATCCTGAAGTTCCATCACCAATATTTGCGCATCGTACAAGTGATCAAGTAACTACTGACGAATTCGCAATTGAAGCAGTATCAAAATTACTTAGTACTCAACCATTTATTATTGAACGTCTTGTAAAAATAATTTATCCGTTAAAAAATGATGAAAATTCTAGAACATTAAATAAATTTGAAGTACAAAAATTAACACGAGTTTTAAATGGTGCTGTGGATGTTCGTACCCTTTTATTTTTCATGATACTTGATGAAAATGATAAGAATTATATAACAAATCGTGGATTATCACAATTTTATGAAAATTATTTAGAAAATCTTAAAACATTTGATAATGATCGATTGCAAGAAGTTATTCAAGTCTTACTTCAAAAATTTCATCTTGATCAAGTAAGACAGTATACAATTTGAAATCATGTTGAACACAAAAAAAAAGTTTTCTATAGAAATTACAAATTGATTATGAAGAGTTTTTTTCAATTGTTTCAAAGGATTCAACTTTACTTGAAACATTATCACAATTTACTGTTCATCCAACATGGTTTATTGAAAGATCATCGTCTTCATTAAAACAACGAACTAGATTAGAAAAGTTTTTTTCAAACCTTTGTTGGCAAAAAACAATATATGAACAAGGACAAAAAAAATTAACTGTTGATTACGTTAAAGATAATCTTTCACATATTATTTTTCTAATTCTTTATTTATTAGTTAATCTTGTTTTACTTCTTTATGTTGTTATTTATCAATCAAATGTAACTAAATCACATGTAATTGTTGTATTGGCACGCATTGGAGGAATGTTATTGAATTTTAATTGTTCATTAGTTATTGTACTTATGCTTAAACGAACTATTTTACTTATTCGAACAAATATTATATTAAGAAAATTAATACCTGTCGATGATCATATAAGTTTCCATAAATTTGTTGGACGTGTTATTGTAGATCTAGTTATTCTACATGTCATTGCACACATGGTTAATTTTGGAAGAATGAAAGGTAAGAAAAATGTCCACAGGTAAAATAGAATCAATAGAGAGCTGTAGTATAGAATAAGATGAAAAAAAAACTAATTGTTATGGAATATAAAAACTACTATTCATTTCAAAATATGATATGATGTGTTCCACTGTTTTTTTTTACAATAACTTTTGGTACTACTTTACTTTAAACACAGAAGAAATGTGATTTGCACATACAGCACTACGTGAGGGTAAGAGTAGTGCGTCTAAAGTAAACTAGTACCGCCCTAATTTCTGCAAGCTGACTTAGAATCACTCAAAAAATCAGATAGGTAAGGGCGATTCACCATTCTGTGTCGAACAATACTTATATAATATTTTCATTATAATAGTTGATATGTTTTTCTTATATTATTTTTTTTTTGTCATATCTTTTAGAATATTCATGGAGAATTTATATGGTAAGATTGTTCATTATTAATAGTTTGTTGCTATAAATTCGTCTCCTTTTTTTTATTTAGTTCACTACAATTCCTAACATTGGATGGTTTAGTGGTTTTGCACCATTAAGTGGAGTTATTTTATGTGTTATTCTTGCAATTATTGTTTTTTGCTCAATGGAATGGATTCGACGAAGTGGTCATTTTGAGGCATTTCAATTTTATCTTATTATTTATATTAATAAATTGAATGTTTTTTAATATTTAAAGGTTTTCTATTGGACACATTTACTTTATCTTCCATTTTTTGTTTTTCTTATCATTCATGCAAAAAACTTTTGGGTAAACTTTCCGTTGTTTAATGATCATTATTTTCATTGATATGTTTAGAAATGGATTATTGGTCCTTTGTCATTACTTTTATTAGAAAAATTTTACTCACTCTTAACACGTTATTCATCACGTAGTGGACGAACACATCTTCATTCAGTAACGATTGAACAATCGAATGTTATTAGTTTGTGTATTCATCGACCGAAATATTTTACGTAAATTTTTCTCTTGATCTTCTATTGAAGATTGTTATTTATGTGATGTGTATTAATTATAATTCATTTTTAGTTTCAAACCTGGTGATTATGTAACCATCAATTTACCTCGTGTTGCACTTTATGAATTTCATCCATTTACTATAAGTAGTGCACCGGAAGACACAAATTATCTTACTGTTCAAATACAAGCGGTTGGTAATTGGACAAAACGAATTTATCAACATTTTAAAGATATGTCTGAAGCTGATGCTCAAGAAAATCATGTTAAAGTTTATCGTGCTGATCTTTATCCTGAACAAGGGATTGCTAAACTAGAAAAGAATATTCAAAAAGATAATCTTGGACGTGTTGAAAGTAATTTTGAAGATGATGAAAATGAAACTACACCATCAAATCTGAGTACAAAATCAATTAAACGAGAATATATTGTTATTAATGGACCTTATTCATCAAGTGCACGCTATGTATTTGATTGCAAGCATGTTGTACTTATTGGTGGTGGTATTGGTATAACACCACATGCATCAATATTATCAAGTCTGATGGCTCAGTTTCGTGCATCACGGATTGTATGTAAACATTGTCAAGGCATAAATTATCATACTAAAGGTCTTGAAGGAAATTGTTCATTAAAAAAAGTTGATTTTATTTGGGTAAATCGTGATCAAAACAATTTTGAATGGTTTCTTAATCTTCTTCGTCAATTTGAACAAGAACAAGAGTATTACTTAGCATCGAATTCTGATGAAAAACGTTTTCTTGATATACATCTATATTTTACAGAAATTAAACATGATGACAATATTGGTTATGTACCACTAGATCTTGTCACAAAAGTTTGGGCAGAAATAGCAGGTCAAGATATATTTACAGATTTAAAATCTAAAACACATATTGGACGACCAAAATGGGACGAATTATTTAATAGTCTTATTTCAGGTGAAAACAGTTCAACAGCTAATGATGTTAATGTCTTTTTTTGTGGACCATCAACTATGGGAAAAGTTGTTCGAGAACATTGTGAAACGTATAGATTTCGATACTATAAAGAAAAATTTTGAACTAATTGTAAATTCATATTAATATTTGTGAATTTAATTTTTAAAATTTAATTAATTGAAAAAGAAAAACAACAATTCATTGTATACGTACTCTTTGATGATATTGCAATGTTTGCTTGGAATTTTAATATTTTGCACTTATTACTAAATGTTTGGAGACGTATAGAAAATTTTCAATTGATCAATGCAATGCATTGATAAGTAAAAGTATATTGCTAATGAATCCTTTAATAAGTTATTGTAATCCCAATGAAAAACTTGTTACTGCGGCCTTTTCTGGGGCAAAGTGTGGAACTCACGAACTCTAATTTTTATAAATTTTTGATATATTATCAAAGCTTTTAAAATAATTTATTCCTAAAAAATATCAAACAAATGAATAATTGAAAATTATAACAATTTTTATAGTGAATACGCGTACTCTGAAATTTTATCATTTGAAAAATGTTCACATTTATTGTTACTTTTCTACCAATTTGCACTGTAAAAACTTATTTGTATTATCAGATATATCTTAAGTTCATGTATATTTTAAAGAGTGCTACTTAGAGGTATCACTACCGCGCTGTGTTCCTAGAAACAGGAACGCATAATATTGTCATAAAATGATAAACAAACCCTTATAAAATCCTCGGTATAGTGGAACTGCTAGAAAATGCAGTATAAGATTCATTCTTTGTTTATGGAAACAGATATTGAAAAAGAGGGTCAGCTTTTTCGAGATTGTGAAATTAGGACAGAAACTGTCGGAAATGCCAAATTCAAGTAAATTTTATTTTTTGTTCTATCATATATGATTTGATAGAGCTTGGACAGCTGGTCACGAAAATATATTTGTTTGATTTCAATACGACCACTATTTAGCTGCAACAACCTTCAGGGTCATCCCTCGTGGTGTCACTTACGCATTTCGTTCCTAAGAACGGAAACACGGAACACGAGTTGAATTCTCGTCTCTAGAAGCGAGAAACACGAGATGTAATCAAGCTACTAAGAACTCAGGAATCTAGTTAGATTCGTTAGCTCCTAAATAAAAGGACATAAGAAAAGCTCTCTTTGTAATCAACAACTTATTTTGCTCAGGTAATTTTTTAATCAGACTCAGTATAAAAAGCGATACTCTCATTTTTGGTCGAAAGAAAAAATATTGAAAACTGAGCTGGAGACTTCTGAATATTTTGTAGATCACAAAATTAAAAAGTCAAGTAGCTGAATTCCAAGGAAATGCTTATATTACAAAAAAAAACATAAAAGACAAGCAAAATACTTTGAAACATCAGTTTATTGGCCTTAAATAATCCTCTTATTACACAATCATAACCTGTTTCTTGCTGCAAGTAAACGAAAATCGCTGAGGAGATTAAATGCCACAATCAAATAATGGTAATATCGATTGTACATGTTTATTCGACTTTTTTATGTCGTTTTTAGTGTACTTCCCTGCTTGGATGTGTGTGCCAGTGAGGGCTTCAATGAAAAATACACCTACACCCACCTACAGATAACACTATTTCACTGCTCAATGTAATGATCTTTAATCTCATTATTTAATTCTTTACTATGAAACTGCAATTCATTCATAATGCCCAATGCTAGTGGTAGTATATCCTCTCATGCAATCTTCTGTCTAACGTATCTAACCGAAATTTTAACTGTAATATACGTTCGACTCTTTCTTGTGTCTCTTCTATCAGTTTTAACGTATCCTTATAGGTATTGTTTCTAATTGTTCTTAAAATTTTCTCTCTCATCTGATCTAAGAGATAAAATCATCTAAACGTTTTTTACCTGAAATTTTCAAAACATCTATTAATGATTCTATGCTATTCTTCATTAGATTGTTTCATTAGCTGTTCTAATTCTTTTTCTTGTTGAATTACTTTTTTTTTCTAAAAATTTTCGATAAGCTGAAATATTTTCTATACTCACTTTTATAGGACAGATCTTAAAATGAAATCTATATTATGTTGGAATAATTGGAAAACTAAATAAACCTATTCTATTAAGTTGTGCATCTTCGTATACGATTGATTGGGAGTGAATCACTCTACGTTGCTTCATGAGCTGATCTTGCTCATTTTCTACTATCATAACTGGCTGTGGTGTTTCAATTTGAAGACAGTCTCTTTCGCCTTCTAAATTTGTTACTATGGGATTTGAACTAAAGAAAAGCGGTCGTGGGCGTACTCTGCCTCGAGCTGAGTAACGAACAGTCATATATACTAAATGGTGTTTTCAGTTCGTTGGGTGAGATCTGATCGGATTCGGTAACTAACTGTTGGTGAACTGCAGTTCGTGGCGCTTTTGCACCATGGGAGAACAATCTGCGTCTTTTCGCATTGGGATCAATGGGAGCATCAGGTGGTGTTTTCTTAGTTACTTTAGTTGCTTATTTTCTATTACTATCTTCACTAACTAACAGTACTGAACTATGTTCAGGAGATTAGGGATCATCCTCAACCGATATTTTCTTTTTCTTTCTTATATTAATATTCTACTTTGTCGATTCGCATTTTGATGTTGGTGATAGGCTTTTTTTTTCTTCCTATTTTCTTCGTCTGTGTCCCTACTGCTACTATTCGATGTCATGTTTTTACTATTACTATTACTATTCTCATTACTCTGACTATTTGTATCATTAACTGTCATTTTTAAAATACTTGAGTATCTTTCTGTAAATCGCCTTGCTGCTGGTATTTCTCCTGCATCTATCATTAAAATATTATCTTCATCCTTAATCGAATCTTGCTTCTTACGATTAACTATTTGTTAATAAATTTTACATCTTTCACTTTCTTCTCTAAAATGTTTAAACAGATAATATATACTTGCTGCTAGAAATAATGGTTCTTTTTCTTTTCTAGTTCTTTTGATGCTTTATTATCCCAAAAAAATGATTCCTTGATTCTAAACTTATGTGAATAAAATTTAATTAATGATCTTGAAGGGAAATGTCAATATCTTCTACTATTTCTATCTATTTACGCTACTTTTCTACCTGTTGTTACTATGAAAGCCTGAGTACTATTGTTATTAGAAGAAGTTGTGACTTGCCTAGCTACATTTTGATCATGTTGATAATGGCACATTATTATAATTTTGATTATTGCTACTATTTAATTATAATGTTGTGGAAGATTTTGACGAGAGTAATTTTAGTGATGGAGATGGTGAATGATGACGATGATGATGCTGAAATAAAATCGAAAAAAGTGCGACAGCACAAGAAGAGAACCATTCACAAGGAGTTCCTTCATATTTTCATCTGTCAGTTGTGTTAGATGGATGTAACCCATCTTTCATACGCGTATCTGCAAGTCCTAAGCACGCATCGACAATGTCGAAATCCATTTGTTTAGATAAGATCTAATGATGCTCATTTAATTGGCGGTGAAGATCTCCGATGTTGGCTGCAGAGACGAATCTTGTTGGTTTCTATCGTGGAGATAACGTCATCCAACCAATAGTGCGAATACTTAGGCATAACAAATGTGTGAAACGTCGGATCTCACTACATCGCTACAGTGACTTGAACAACATACCATCTCACATCGCTAGTACCCAATGAAATAATTAAAAAATCTTTAATTCGTATTGTATGGTGATCATCAGGTACTTTTTATCCACACGCTCATTTTAATAATGTCACCAACTGATTCAGGTGACAATTCAACATGGAATAAACTTAATTTTTTAATTGCATAACAATTTGATAATTTAAGACCTTTAAATACATTCTTTTTATGCTTGTTAATGTTTTATGATGGTGATGATAAACGCCAATAATTTTGATTGTAATTACCATGTTGATGATGAATACGACGTAGTTTTATTGGTGGCATGGTTGACGATGATGTGATGCGTACGAGAACGTGATTGTGTATCTTGAACGTTATAATGAATATCACTTATGATATTGATGAGAATTTGGATGATATCGTTGGTGTTGATAAAATAAATGAGTATTATGGCGAGATGGTAAATGAACTGGGTTAATTTTAAGTAATGATGGTAAACTGTTTATGTTATTGTTATTGTAATTTTGTTGAAGATGCTAATTGCGATTATAATATTGATGATGATATTGATGACAATGTTGATTATGATAAGATAATGATGGTGATAATTAACGAGGTGCTAGAATTGGTGTTCAAGTGGTCAGGTGTATGTCCGTGATGTTGGCGTAACCGTTGAATGCTGTTGTTGAACATGTTTGAAATTTATAAAAATGATTGTACTTATATTGACCAGCACCGTATAATGATAGTTTACGAGAAACTTGTGGGGCAAAATGGCGATATGTTGAAGGTTTTGGTGCGTGAGGTTGATTTAATGTTAAATGTAATGGGCGCATAGGGGGAATCTATGGATATTTAGGAAATCACTTGATGATGATAATGGTGTTATTGTTGGAATAATGGTGATGAAAGACATTGCTAATTCTTTTTGTTAACATAGTGTTTGGTAATAATTGAACAAAAATAGTGTACGTGTGATTTGAATGAAAAAACGAATTAACAATGTGGTAAAGAAAAAGGAAGAACAAATAGATAATTAAAGTTATACAAGTAATGCAGTTCACAGTTTATTTTTCTTTCTATTTATAGGAGTTATATATTTATTTTTGTCCGTCAAATGTATAATCTTGTTCGATTTCATAAATAATTATTCATAACAATAATGATGATATGATGAACATGATGATGACGACGATATGTAATAATAATGATAATATTGATATTTTCTACACCAATTTAAGTCAATCTCAAGCTTTTGGGTCCTTAAATCTATCATAGTGGTACAACAATATAGGCATAATTATAAATATAAATAAGTGTTTTTGTCTATGAAGGCTGCAGTTGTAAATCTTTTAGTATATGTTGATTAATCATAGGACTTGGAGATAAATAACTAGAATTATATAAGTGATGCAGTTTCTGTTGTTGTACTACTATACTAATAATGAGTCTAAGTACTCGAACGCTTTGAATTGCACTGAA